ATTATCTGTGATCATTTCATTTACAATAACTGCTTTGGGTGCGAGTGATCTAATGTTTGAGAGCCCAAACTTTAAAAATAGTTTTTGTTCATTTATTTTACATTTTTCTGGTTTAATCACGATCAGATTTTTTTCTAGATCCTGCATTAAATTTATATTTTGACCTCACTATTCAGGGAACAGACACAGTCTTAATAAATTGGACAGTGCAAGTACTTCTATAATTTAAGCGGATAGAACAAAAGCCATAATAGCAGTTATTTGAGAATAAGCGTCCCGGAGATGTTGTCCGTTCCGGGTGGAGATCTCGAAGACCGGAGGTGGCGGAGGGGGAGAGATCGTCGCCCGGGGCCTGGCTCGCGCCCAAAACTAGTGACAACAAGGTGCTCTGGTTGTTTTTGTTGTAGAATACGATAGAGGATATGTAAGTGTTTTGTTAAAATGTTCACGAAAGAAAGAACAAACCTCAAGGGGAAATTTTCCAGAAGGAGGAGACACCACCACCTCCTGATGCTCAGGGCATGTCAGTCTGAGATAAAAAGATATACTCAATGAGTTGGTTACTTTTTAAAAATATGGGGGTTACCATTGCAGATTTCACTTACCTCTGTAAAATCAAAGGCCCCTGATGTCACAAAGTACAGCAGGACAGCGGACAATTGAGGCAGAGGCTGCGGGACAGCGGACGATTGAGGCAGAGGCTGCGGACGACTGAGGCAGAGGACAGCGAATGATTGAGACAGAGGCTGCGGGACAGCGGACGACTGAGGCAGAGGACAGCGGATGATTGAGACAGAGGTTGCGGGACAGCGGACGATTGAGGCAGAGGCTGCGGGACAGCGGACGATTGAGGCAGAGGCTGCGGGTGACTCTTAAGGATGGCTGGCAATGCGTGTCAGAAATTGTGCCCGATTTAACAGACTGTGTTGACTGTAAACAATAGCAGCAGTGAAAGTGGGACTTCGCCCGTCATTTTAAATTGCATTTTAAGATGAAGTCTGAAAGGGTACCCAAAAAAAAGGGATTTTATTATGGAGCAGTTTAAAATTGACTGAAATTATACTTCTCTTGTCTGTGTTCCGCTCTGGCTCTTGAACAGTCTGTGATATAATATTTGTCATCAGCAGATTGCTAAGGTCTGTGCACAAAGTCCATGTGTAGCTAGATTTTTGAGATTTGAACATGTTTTAGATGCTTGTGTGCTCAACTGTGCGTGAGATGGGTGGAACACAGAAAATGAATTATACCTGAGCCTTAAAAGTAAACATTCTATAACAAAGTCAGAAGCAATGAAATTAGCAGCTCACACAATACATAGCGGACTCTTAAAATCACTAAAAGACTGGTAAACTCACCATGATGTTTCACTGCCAATTGAAGGTGATTTTCTATGTGATAATATACCAGCTGTGGTGTACTGGCAGAACGGGCACTTACTAGTGCAGTTTTTTAAATACTGTTTAAAGTAGTTTATTAAAAGCATCATTTAATTTATTGTAATAAAATCAGAATCATTCTCGCAGAAGTTGCTCAATAGCACTTCCCCATTTCTTTCTGACTTTACGAAATTTACATTCTCTGCTCTGAAGTTTTACTCCACCAGTTAACGTTACCAAAGTGGTTCCGCGTTTGTATCGCATCAATGTACATATTTTGCAACAGCAAATAAAAAATTATTTATTATGTTCAAAATAAATTGGTAATATTTTCCTTCAAAACCATCTAAAATTTGTAAATGCCTGCAGAAATAAATGTAATGACTTTTAATGCAATTCAAGGCCTTAATTAATGCAAAGCCCATTTAATGACTTTTAATGCTTTTCAATGCCCAGCGGTTATTAGCTGCCAGTCGATTTAATCATTCTTAGAAACTACTGAAGAAAAGTTGTTTATACAGATTTTTATTTTTTTGTCTAAAAGCATATGAGTTCCCACGCTAAAATGGGCACGGGCACAGGTTGGAAACCACTGCTTTAGTGAACGATGTTACACGAGGCCGATCTTATTTTAACTACTTCACATCTCCTTATATAATCGCCCATTAATGACATAATGAACGTAACATTGTAATCAAAGATTACAAATAATCAAATTAGACAAATCACATAGCTCATCTACTCACCAGTGCAGCGACGAACAAGTAGAAATGAAATCCTGCTGAGTCGTTGGCGTCATTTACTTTGTCATTAACCAATGATATGATTTGTGGGCGGGGCGACACATGTACCCAGATGCAACCCCACCCCGTTCTGCAGGCTGCAGCCAGGACCTTCTCGATTGCTGTGCTGTTCAGACTACATGACTTCTAGGCTGTCTTGAAGTCGTTGTAAATTTGTAAATGCCTGCAGAAATAAATGTAATGACTTTTAATGCAATTCAAGGCCTTAATTAATGCAAAGCCCATTTAATGACTTTTAATGCTTTTCAATGCCCAGCGGTTATTAGCTGCCAGTCGATTTAATCATTCTTAGAAACTACTGAAGAAAAGTTGTTTATACATAGATTTTTATTTTTTTGTCTAAAAGCATGAGTTCCCACGCTAAAATGGGCGCGGGCACAGGTTGGAAACCACTGCTTTAGTGAACGACGTTACACGAGGCCGATCTTATTTTAACTACTTCACATCTCCTTATATAATCGCCCATTAATGACATAATGAACGTAACATTGTAATCAAAGATTACAAATAATCAAATTAGACAAATCACATAGCTCATCTACTCACCAGTGCAGCGACGAACAAGTAGAAATGAAATCCTGCTGAGTCGTTGGCGTCATTTACTTTGTCATTAACCAATGATATGATTTGTGGGCGGGGCGACACATGTACCCAGATGCAACCCCACCCCGTTCTGCAGGCTGCAGCCAGGACCTTCTCGATTGCTGTGCTGTTCAGACTACATGACTTCTAGGCTGTCTTGAAGTCGTTGTGGTGTTCACACTACGTCAATGATCCGCAACAGGGGGTCACACACTACACAAGCTGACAACAGTTCTGTCACCCAACGATTCTATCCTGTCCCCAAACCACGTTTAGTCACGAAAATACATGCAAGAAGTTGAACGGGAATTACGCGAAACAACACGTGGAACAGGAGTTGTTTATTTAAAAATGGACATTGGGAAAAAATTAGTGCTGCAAGCTGTTTGCGTGATGAAAAAATTAGCTCCATTTCTTGTCCAAACTTGTCTTAAAGCCGTGTTGCTGCTGCTGTTTTTCTTCCGCTGACCTCAACCCATGTCTTGCTCTCATTGGCTGTAGCTCGTAGAGACACCTGACACCACGTGATGTCGAGTCGGCCGACCGGTCCAGATATTTAGCATGCTAGATATTTATTTGGCGTCTGCAAGCCTCTTTGATGCGTCGTTGAGTAGTTCACACACAAAGATTGCCAAGCGCTGATCACCCGCTGATTTTCCCTGTCAGCGAGCTCATTAACTTTCACATCGGACTTAAAATCCTGTAGTGTGAACTAGGCATTACACTATTTTGTTGTTACGTTAGCAGTTATCTCACATTTTTGCTAGGCTAGCTAGCTAGATACAGTACATTTTCCCCCCCCAAACAGCTTACTAGACTGTTGTTGCAGTGTTAATTTTTGGGAAACCTTGCCAGGGATGTGGTAACAGTTTTGTATAATTAAAAGGCACCAGAATACAGGAAATGGCATCTACTCCAGTAAAATGAGGATCCACCCACATTTTTTTTTTCCGCTCGCACTGTCTTCAAACTTTTCAGGTATCTTAACATTTGAATCATGATGTCTATCAAATTTTCATCATTTTGAAAATATCACATTTTATGAACATTTTCAAAATGGTGAACAGACAGTTTGTCAGATTCTGGCAAAATCAGTATTGACTGAATCAGCATGATTCATGGAATCAGGAGACACAAAGATTATGATTTTCACAAACTTTTCAAAAGTTGAGCAAAAATAGACATTTCATATTTTAGGACCTGTAAAGTGCCACTGTTTCCAAGTTCAGCATGAATCCTCAGCTCATGGTGCTGATGAAGTGTCCACAGGTTTATGTTTTATTGATACATGCGTTACGAATATTCAAATTCAGGTCAAAATCATTAAGTTCATGTCATCGCAACTTTTGAACAGAGTTGAGAATCAAAATTCAGATCAGTCATTTTTTTGTAGCTCATTCGCATAATAATCTGAGGCCATTTGATGGGAATCGGATAAAATTTAGTAGAGAAAAATGGAGTTCAGTACATTTCAAAATGATGACTACTGTAATGGGCAGTCTATGTAAACTGTAAACTAAAAATTTGTTTTAGTACAAAAGTTATTAAAAGTATCAAAGAAAAGTGAATTTTTTAACTGGTGGCGTTCAAAAGTCTCTAGTTGGTCCTAGAGACCCTAAAGTTGATCAGATTACTATTCAGGACCACACCAGTCAGTGTGCCAAATTTGATCATTTTGGAAGGTATAGTTCATACGGCTTCCATAAACTCCCATTTGGGGAGGAATAATAAGAAAAAGAAAGCCAACAGATACAAACGGGATTACAATACAGTCTGCTTGGCCCCTAATAAACACAAAAAGTAATCAACTTTAATATTCAGGGAATACAATCAGACTACATTTTATTTGATAATGGGTAGGGGACGCTGGCCCCAAAAACTTTGAGGATAGCTAAATGTTTTGATATCTGCTGCTTTGTGCCATTAAACTGGGGTTAACTTGTATTTGTCTCTTTTCACCTCAGACCTGATGCCGCTGATAGAGGAGAGTCAAGAACTGAATGATGTGAAGGAAGAGAAACATCATCATAATTGCCCCAAAAACTTTGAGGATAGCTAAATGTTTTGATATCTGCTGCTTTGTGCCATTAAACTGGGGTTAACTTGTATTTGTCTCTTTTCACCTCAGACCTGATGCCGCTGAAAGAGGAGAGTCAAGAACTGAATGATGTGAAGGAAGAGAAACATAATTTCACAACTGCAAACGATATTTTAGTTGTTCAGACTAAAATGTCTTCCTCACGAAAAAGAGCTCAAACAACTAGATCTAGAAGTTATTTCACCTGTCAACAGTGTGGAAAGTGTTTTACACATAAAGCAACAATTAATGCCCACATGAGAGTTCACACTGGGGAGAAACCTTTTACCTGCCCTCGGTGTGGAAAGAGTTTCACAGTTAAAGAAAATCTAAATACTCACATGAGGATTCACACTGGAGAGAAGCCTTACACCTGCCAACAGTGCGGAAAGAGTTTTACTAAAAAAGAAAGGCTTAAAATCCACATGAGGATTCACACTGGAGAAAATCCTTACACCTGCCAACAGTGTGGAAAACGTTTCACTGAAAAAGGAAACCTTGACGTCCACATGAGAATACACACTGGAGAGAAACCTTTCACCTGCCAACAGTGTGGAAAACATTTCACTGAAAAAGGAAACCTTGACGTCCACATGAGAATACACACTGGAGAGAAACCTTTCACCTGCCAACAGTGTGGAAAGAGTTTCACAGTTAAAGGAAATCTAAATACTCACATGAGGATTCACATTGGAGAGAAGCCTTACACCTGCCAACAGTGTAGAAAGAGTTTCACTAAAAAAGAAAGGCTTAAAATCCACATGAGAATTCACACTGGAGAAAATCCTTACACCTGCCAACAGTGTGGAAAGAGTTTTACACATAAAGCAACAATTAATGGCCACATGAGAGTTCACACTGGAGAGAAACCTTTCACCTGCCCTCAGTGTGGAAAGAGTTTCACAGTTAAAGGAAATCTAAATACTCACATGAGGATTCACACTGGAGAGAAGCCATTCACGTGTCTACAGTGTGAAATTAGTTTCACGTATCTCAAACACCTGAAACGTCACTTGCAAGCTCATTCTGGAAAGAAATTGCAATGTTCCTCAGTGTGATGAGGTTTGAAAAACCTAGCAATTTCAAAAATCACCTGTGCATCACTCTGCATGGAGTGATCATTGTGCTGAAAGAAAGAAAAATCACACTTACAGATACAGTATCTCACAGAAATGAGTACACCCCTCACATTTTTGTAAATATTTTATTATATCTTGTTCACCAGAGCTTCACAGTTTGCCACTGGAGTCCTCTTCCACTCCTCCATGACGACATCACGGAGCTGGTGGATGTTAGAGACCTTGAGATGCTCAATAGGGTTTAGGTCTGGAGACATGCTTGGACAAACCATCACCTTTACCCTCAGCTTCTTTAGCTAGGCAGTGGTCATCTTGGAAGTGTGTTTGGGGTCGTTATCATGTTGGAATACTGCCCTGCGGCCCAGTCTCCGAAGGGAGGGGATCATGCTCTGCTTCAGTATGTCACAGTACATGTTGGCATTCATGGTTCCCTCAATGAACTGTAGCTCCCCAGTGCCGGCAGCACACTTTTGTGGCTAGCGGTTTAGACATTAATGGCTGTGTGTTGAGTTATTTTGAGGGGACAGCAAATTTACACTGTTATACAAGCTGTACACTCACTACTTTACATTGTAGGAAAGTGTCATTTCTTCAGTGTTGTCACATGAAAAGATATAATAAAATATTTACAAAAATGTGAGGGGTGTACTCACTTCTGTGAGATACTGTATACCTGTAATATCACGCAGAAGTGAGACCCTATTTTTGTTCTTTGCTGAGCCAGTTAAACTTTAAAATTCTTTTCACACAATTTAAAATGGCACCAGAAGATATGTGGAAGTGTGAAATTAATTTTGATTGAATAGAGGCATCACTTTTATATTTGATTCAGGTTAATACATCACAATCAAAATATTACATAAACTTCCATTTTGCTGTGACAGACACAATGCAAATGAAAATTATAAATAAAAAGGACATAAACTGTGGGAAATAATGAATATTGCACTGCATTTTTTGATGTATCTTTAGTGAGAGAATGCACAGGTAAACATGTTTTCAGTCTGGATTTGATTAGGGCTACTGTTGAGACTTCTTTGATGACATCTGGAATCTGGTTCAAGCTGTAGGTTGCATAATAGCTAATCACATGTGTAACAATGTATATAAATTATCAAAAAATATGTGTGCAAACACTTTGAAATATCTGGATTTCTGATTTGATCTTAATTTCTTCTTTTCACATTTTAATTGAATACATGAAATAGTCATTTACAGTGCAACGTAGAGAAAGTAGGTGATTTAGACTCACAGCCACATTAGCCAGTGCTTACTGTGCCATATCTTTGCCAAAACTGGCCCAGATACGCTTTAGGATAACTGGGCCACAGTTGTGGCATCATATGTGGGCCACTTTAGGCTCACAGCTACATTAGCCAGTGCTTACCATGCCATATCTTTGCCAAAACTGGCCCAGATATGTTTTAGGATAACTGGGCCACATTGGTATCATTATATGCGGGCCACCTTAGGCTCACAGCCACATTAGCCAGTGCTTACTGTGCCATATCTTTGCCAAAACTGGCCCAGATACACTTTAGGATAACTGGGCCACATTTGTTGCATCATATGTGGGCCACTTTAGGCTCACAGGTGGATTAGCCAATGCTCACTGTGCCATATCTTTGCCAAAACTGTTTGGGCCATAATCACTGTTTACCACATGGGCCACTTTAGGGTCACATTCAGATTACACATTGCCATCAACACCGCATCTTTACCTACAGAGGCCCACATGTGATTTGATACATTTGGGCCATTTTTGCTGTTTTACATATGGGCCACTTCAGGCTTACATCCATTTTGTCCAGGCCATAAGAAGGCCAGCAGTGCCATATCATTGCTTTAAGTGGCCCACATCCGCATGCTATCTGGGTTTACTCTTCATGACTGGGAGCTACAAACACACTGTCCAGATTTAGTTTATGCAACAAAAACTATTCATGTAATCACACAAAACACAAAACTGAACACCAGTAGATCCCAAATTTGTTGTGCACCATTAGACAAAGACGCCGCTGCAGTCAAACCCAGTGAGAAGTGGAGATGCTGAAGAACTGTGCTGCTTCAGATCATTGAAGTAAATGGAACAAACAGCAGAAATCACACACAGACCATCACAGCAGCTGTTTGTGTGAAAGAGAGAGCTGTTTTCAATCAGGCCTTGAGTTTCTCTCGCAGAGGCTGCCAGACAACAATCAGAAGAGAGAAAGACAGACGAGCTGATGATGAACCCTGAACAACATCTGAACATCACAGCCGAGTAAACCGAACGCACCTCTGGAGCTGCTGCATTTCAGCCCTGCACTTCATACATATACATACATATCAGTGTCTCAGCAATGGATGCTCTGCAGTGAATGGGTGCCGTCAGAATGAGAGTCCAAACAGCTGATAAAAACATCACAATAATCCACAAGTAATCCACAGCACTCCAGTCCATCAGTTAACATCTGGAGAAGACAAAAGCTGAAACAAATCCAGCATTAAGACGGTTTTAACTCAAATGTGAGCCCATAATCCATAATAACTCTTCCTCCAGTGAAAAAGTGTTCTGGTCTGAATCAGGAGAGAAATCTGCACAGATCAAGCAGCGTTTAAACAGCTCTAAACAAATATGTGGCTAGATTTTGATGTGAGAGACAACAGCAGATGCACTTTTTCA